AGGTGTGGGCAAAACACGGCCTGTGGCCTTGATCTGGCTCACTAAGAGATTTTGTCCAGCCCATAGCAGGCCCCTTGGGCCTACCAGGCATGGGGACAGCCTGAGCTGTGGCATGTGCACCTGGCCCCACTGCCCCTAGGTGCGCAGTGGGGCTGGGATGGTGCAGCGGCGCCTGATAGCTTCCACTGCCAGCCCCAACCCTGCTGCTTGGGCACCCTGGCCCATCTGCCCCATGTATGGCCAGGGGTGCCAGATGGAGCAGACAGGCAGGGTCTCGATGGAGACCCCCAGATCGCTTAGCAATGATAGTGCAGGGCTGGGGCTTGCCTGGGGCACAGCTGCAATCTGCTCCCTATATGCCCTTGCCTGTGAAACTGGCTCCAGTTACCAGGTTACATGGGGAGGGGATCGTGGCTCTGCCACAGTCTTGGCCTGAGCCCTGTGCTGTCACCACTTTGTGATCCCTGGCTTAGGCTCCTCTGCTCCTGGATCCTGCTTCCAACCCACCTGCTCCCCCATCCCATCTTCCTGGCCACTTAAGGAGTTTTGGTGAGCTTGGGGTGGGGGGCAGCAGGTGATGCTGACCCAGAGCTGGGGGAGGGGCAGGGGGTGCTGGCCTGGTCCAGGACCGCTCACCAAAATTCCCTAAGTGGTCCTCTGGCCCAGATAATTACCCACCCCTGTCTTAAGGTCCCTGCTTCCCAGTTTGAGCTAGCAATAACAGTGATCAGTGTTTGAGCAGCTCAAAGTGCAACATGCAGCAAGACCTTTAGGTATATTTATTGACTGTTTGTTCAACTAATGTTGGCTTTCAGCTGAATGAGGTTAAAGTGTCTGTTTTGGGTTGTGTTTTAATTTTAATTGTTCAGTCATGCACTAATGCTTTTCTGAAATGTATCAGCACTTAAATGTTAAACTTAGGACTGTACTCCCCAAAATAATACTTTTATCATATTTTTTTCATTTTGGAGAAAAGCAGTGAAACTGTGGATATAAAAGAACTTCGGAAAGATTTTACCATGTAGAATTCAATTAGCAAACTTACAAATTTGGATGTCTGGGCATCCCAAGGCCTCAAGTTATATGAATAGGACTTGATATTTTAAACAGAGGAAATCTTGTAGCTAGGCCATGAAATGATGCAATATTTCTATGAACAATGAACATTTCTGTGCATTTGTAAAGAGGTATCTTAAAGCATATGCTTCTTCTTAAGGTTTTTTTTTTTTTTTTTTTGTTTCAGACTGTGCAATTTGAAAGGTATAGGTTAGGGTTTATCTCTTGAAATTTCATCTGTTGCACAGAAGTAATGGAAGTTTTTTTTTTTTTCCTTGAATATAGGAAAGGATGAGGGAAATTTTTATTAAGTGCCTTCATTGACAAGCCAAATATGCTACTCAGTCTGACATGGAAAATCCAGATGCAATGCAGTGGTGGAAAAACCCACTCTTTTTCTTCTCCCTTCTCAATGAGGGAACTGAAATGCATTTGCTTTCTTAATAAGGTTCTCATTGTAGATTTTGTTCATTGACTTCATGTGAGATCATCAGCCTTTTGATGGTGACTGGTGCCTGAAGCTATAAGAGTGACAATTTAAAAAAAAAAAAAAATTTTTTTTTTTAAAGCTTTAAAGGATTTGTTCAAAACTGCATTTTACCCTCTTCTGTTTCTTTATTATGACTGTGGCAGATTTGAATGTCTTTATATTCTTCTACATCCATTTTTTTCTGTATGAACATTCAGTTTACGATTATTAAATGCAGTGATGTCTTGGAAGAGTAAATGCAAGGTATTAAAGCTGTTCTCGTTCTTTAGGTGACAGTAGTATGCACTTAAATGAAATGAAATTATGATGGGGAAAATGGGAGATGAAAGTATTGTGGAAAGAATATTACTACTACCTAGACCCGAAAAGCACGGTTTAAAAAAAAAAAATCCTCCAGATTAGGTACAAACAGATTGTAACATAGTTTAATGCAGGTCACTGAGCTTACTTAAGCAACTATGAGACTTTTTCATATGCTATAGTAATTTTTCTGAAAAGTAAAGGCGGTTGGAGAGAGAAAGCAGACAAGAATTCAGTGACTGTAAGATTTATAACCAGCTTAATTATTATATTTGTTCATAAAATCATTATAGCCACCAGACATTGCTACGCTGGAAAAGTTTTAAAACTGGACCAAACAAATATCACCCTAATACTCATAATAACTGCAAATTGAACTGGGAGACAATAGAGAACCAAAACCTTGCCCAAGCTAGTCTGGGGAGGGGGAGAAATCTCTCACTACCGCATGATTTCTGGTAGCAGTAATGGGAACACAAATAGAGGTTGAATTGAGGTAGTTGTCAACATTTTTACTTCTTGTCTAGACTTGCTGCAAGTGTGTTTAGAAGACTCCGCAATCATTAGTAATTTTAGTGACTACCGTTGGTTTTAGTTGAATGATGTGAGGCTAGTGTACTGTAATAGAAGATGTTTTTGTCAATTACAGACTTAAAAAAATAGTAGACTTCTTTGTAAGATGGGGTAATGATGGCAAAAAAATTACAAGTATAACTTTGTTTTACAAGTTAGCAGCCTTGGTTTTAGACAGTCCCTCAGAGAAAGAGGAAGGTTGTAAGTAATCCAGTAAGTGTTTGAAAATGAAAGAAACCAGGAAACCTGACATGACAAGTTTAACAGATAAAGGGATAGAAGAGCAATGAATTTTAAAACTGACATGGATGTAACATGTGATTTAAAATGGCTTCCCCATATATGATAGTAGGAAAGTTTGTCTGGTACAATAAAATCAAAGCTGGATAAACATTTTCTGAATGGTGTCAGGATTGACAAACCCAGCATAAAGGAAAACATCCACTATGTCTAACCAAGAGCTGGTGTGGAGTGGGATTTGGCAGATCTTCAAGTCCAATTGCTAAAAGCTGATGGGTGTCCTCTAACAAGTGGGTTAGAGTATAATGTTGCATGAGTTACATGTTTGCATATAACTACACTCCAGGATAAACCTTCAAACTTGTAAAGCAAGGTAGAGAAAGAAAAAGGGTATTGGGAACCTTTTCTGTACAGTTTTGGAAGCTTGGAATTATGAAGCTGGAATATACAGGTTATGTTTTGGTTTTATAAAAGCTGATTCTGTTTCCTCCAAAACCCAGCTGAAGGCAAAATTTGCTGCTAGAAGTAGCAGTCTAGAATAAAACATTCTTATTTGTAACTTAAAAATAGTATAAATAGTAGTTCAAAGGTCTGTGTGAAAGGTGATCTGTCCTTTTTAAGAAAGGGAAGCCAGCCTTGTTAAAGGACATAAGCGTCTTTTTATAGTTAGGGGTGCACCGATAAAGATTTTCTTGGCTGATACAGGTAGCCAATTGTTCATCAGGCATATTGGCTGATACCGATCTGATAACTGATTTACAGGAGCACAGCTGGGCAGCATGGAGAGCAGTTCTCTGCAGGTAAGTCTATGGAAGGGACGTTGGGGAAGGAAGAGGTGGGGGGGTGCAGATTGAGCCCCCCATGGTGAGGGAGGGAGTGGGGCAGGGGCTGGAGCTGGGGATGCTGCCCAGGCAGGGTGGTGAATAAGACCCCGGGGCAGGTGGGACAGAGCCATGGGCGATTCATCCAGGGGGTCATTGTCCTAGCGCTTTAAAAATGGTGGCATGATCAAATGAGCTTTAGTTCAAGCGCCACCGCCACAATTTTTGAGCATGGGGATGCTTTTAGGAGTGGAGCCAAGGGGGGCGAGGGCAGATGTGGGCTGCCCACTGTGGGCTTGGGGCTCTCGACCCTGCTGTCTTTGCCCTGGGAGCAGTGTGCTGGCCCTGCATCCCCTGCCCACCTGGCAGTGGGAGGCACAACTTGCTGCCCCCACTGCTACTGGATGGGCAGGGGACATGCAGCCAGTGTGCAGCTCCTGGGGCAAAGACAGTAGTGCAGAGAGCCCTGAGCCCGCAGCAGGCAGTCTGCCTCTGCCCCACACACATTGGTGGGGGACATACTCCTTCCCCCCGCATTGCCTTCCCTAGGGGGGGTGTGCAGCGGCAGGGTAGCTGCTCCCTCCCTGTCTGTGTCCCCTGGACAAGCTGCCTAGGGCTCTACCCCACTCCCTCCCTCACCATGGGGGCCCTGACCTCCCCCTTCCCCTCAACAGACCTACCTGCAGGGAGCTGCTTTCCACACTGCCCAGCTGCCTTCCTGGCCATGTGCATGTGCAGCTGCGCGCATGCATGTGGCTTCCAGGGGTCCCTTCCAGAAGGCATATTATATTTATTGGTTAACATTTTTGGCTACACTGGCCTTTTTTGACCAATAGCTGATAATGCTAATTTTTTCCTTTATTGGTGCCAATGATATGGCACCAGTATATCAGTGCGTCTCTGCTTCATAATGGTATCTTCCACTGGGAGTTTAAAAACCCCAGAGGGACACTGAGAATGAAGATTGAAGGAAGGGAGAGAGAGAGAGAGAGAGGAAGGAAACAAGCAGTTTCTGTAGCTGCATGTCACAAGAGGAGGCCAGGCTGCTGCACTGGGAATCAGAGCCAGAGGGCCCCTCTGAATGCCTGGGACATGGCAAAAAGGCTTTGTTTTATTGGCTTTTTTATTTGTTTGTTGCCCAAGAATCACGTTGTTTGAGGCAGGCTAGGAAACCTATGTATATGGTGTAGATCCTAGAACAATAGTATTCTAGCTATTATGAGTTCTGAGCATGAAGAGTCTTTCTGTGTTGCCATATTATTGTGACAGTATAGATGGAGCTAAACAAAAGGCTTCAGATGTGTTGTAGGTTGAAGACGACCTGTAAAAGGAATGGTTTCTAGTTGATTGTTGCAGGATACAACATAAGTACTGCTCATATAGACTAAAGACTTAATATGCAAGTAGAACATTGTTTTGAATTTCAAGTTTGTGTTAATTTTAATGCATTTTCACTAATAAAGCGCATTTCCCTTTACAACTATGGCAGTCTTGTTTTCTCTTCTCAATTACACCTACAGATAATTGAAGCACCACACTCCACCTCAGCATCTGACAGTGTTTTGGAGGGTGAGGGGATCCCTTCCACACTCTGTGACATCAAACTGAGATTAAAAGGTAGGAAAACTCCATAACCACAACTCTGAAAAATAGCATAGTCTGTGGTTGAAACAAACAGGCCCCAGTTTCAAGCTGATCTTGGCGTATCTTACTGTGAGGGCCAGAGTGGCTGTGCTCAACTTTTATGGTCCTTTGGATTTTAGGATCAGCTATGACTTGTTCAGTTTCTGTATAAGAGAAATTGCATTCCCTTAACACACAGTATTTGGATGTGTGATCCCAGTCTCAGAATCTTCTCGTTTTCTGCCTCAGGCTGAATACTTGATGCATACAGCAAGGGGGAAGTTTATGGCAGTGCCTCATCATACTAGTTTTGTATAAGCCTTTTGTATATTGCTGTGGTCTGCTTATTGTTGGATAAACTTGTCCAGTTTTTGAAGTGGAGAGGGCCATAAACCCCCCAAATCATAAGAATGTAGAGAATTTACTTGTCAGTTAATACATCTTCCTATTTTTAAATAGTGACCTTTATAAAGATGAATGTGTGTAACAGCACTTTATTTTCAGTTACTAAAGTAAAGTTTCATCTAATAGTTAGAATCTAACAGTCTAATAGTCTGGCATTTTTCATATTCTTCCTTTAAAAGAAAGCATGTATATCCCTAATATCAAGAGAATGTTGTCTCCCATCTAACTGTTTAGAAGTGGTTTGTTATAAGGTGGCATGAATAATCCTGTGACATATTTGTTATCCAAACAGTGAATGCTTCAAGTTAAGAATATCTATCTTAATCTTCAAGAAATTTCCCACCCTTGCCCTTTTAGTTGGAATGTAGGGAGCAAACATATGTACCTCGCGCCACCATAATTATTGTATGGCGACACAAGTTGCAAGTAAACAGACATCTTGGCTCTTTGCTGCTCTCCATGTGCCCAGAGGTGTTTCTGTGACCAAAGGTAGTCACTATTTGTGATGCTTTAAATGGGAGGACATCTGCTACCTTATTGCGCACCATCGGAATTCCTGTGTAGGGGATTTCCATGGCTGGCATGCATATCAGGCTGGCATGCCCTGATTCCGCTTGCAGATGTGCACCACAGAAGATTTCCACAGCATGCATCTTGCTGCTGCACCCTGTCCCTATGGGATCCTGCGGGACAACGGCCCAAACGTCTACAGATGCCAATGAAGTGGATCAGCCATACCAGAACACATCCTGCTCCAAAGACAACATCTGTTTATAGCGAAGCTAAATTGGCAAATGTTAACTTATTGGAAAGATGATTTCTGTTGTTTTTGTTGAAGTGAACGAGCTCCGTGGAGGTCATAATTTTTTTTTTTTTTACCACCTCCTAATTTTTATTTTGCTTTTTCAAAATGTTAATTTTAAAACTTAACCATCTTGCATCTATTACTGTGATTGTAGGTTATCTTGTTACTTTACTTTTCTGTAGCAAATGTATCTTATACAAAGCATTTCATTTGTATTCCAGCTAATTTAAATGGAGGATTGCAAAGCTGTAACATGCTTCCAGACCTATTTTCTCTTTACCCAGAAAGGAACCATGATAAGATTTGTCTCAGGGCCATGGAAAGTGAGGATGGTGGGGGAATCTGGCATCAGTAACTGGTACACTGATGTCCTGGTCTGTGACTGGAGGTCTAGATGCAATACAAGTAACATATTTGGGACACGCTTATCTCGGGTCCTTTTCTGATAAATGGAAAAGCACATTACAGTTTAAGTAATCTTGTACCTTGCTTTATGCAGGAAGCAGAAGCAGGACTTCAAATGTAGCTACTTTTTATATATGCATAGAAAGGGCAGAATTACTCCTAATATTGCCTAAATTATGGCCTGTATAAACATCATTTAAATTGTTGAACTAAACAAAACAGTCAGAGTTAAATTGATTCTTTGCCTTTCTAATTTAGAGAGACAGTTTGGTTTTACAGGCCACCAGGGAATGTTGGGGAATGGTAGTTGTAACTGTCTTATTGGTTCACTGAGTACCAGGGGGTGATGGACCTTCCTGACAATCATGTAGGGTCACAGAACGCAGCTCTTCTTGGGGGGTGGAAGGAAATATTGTGCCCTGTGTTTTTAATCCCCCCCCCTCCACTCCTTCCAGCAAAACAGAGTATATAATAGATTGTATTTTGACAGAGGAAGGGGTTACATTGCTATACGTCATCAACTTTATACAGCTGTACTTGGTGTAGGAATGGCCATACACATATGGCTCAAAGTGCCCTCAGCAATGAACAGATCTGGCTTAACCATCTTTTCATCCTCACATATCTAGTGGACCCTGGTTTAGGGGATAGGAAGGGATGTGCTTGGAGTGTTCTTATTACCTCAGTTATTCCTTAGTAGTGCTGTAGTTTATAGAATTAATTGCTGTGAAAACACATATTCATGCAGTCCTCAGTTTCTGCATCTGGCTTAGAGTGAAGAGTGATGAATTTTGCTCGGTCTCTTCTTTTCCTGTTGAAATCCAAAGGAGCTAGGATATGAGTAGTGATTCTAAACTAGCTCTTGCTGCCTTTGTTTTACAAAACACATCTGGCCTTCTTATGTCTCTTACCTTGTTTTGAAATGTACTTAAAGTTAGTTTGTCATTCATAAATCATTAGGGTGAAATGAACAAATGTTTATTTTAATGTCTTCTATTTAAAGAATCTTTTTTACCCTGGGACTGTTTAACACCGAATGTCATCACCTGCTTTTCTGTAATGATTGGGGTTTTTTTTTAGAGAAGATTGAAGAATATCAGCTCAGAAAGCAGTCCTGCAGTGACTCTCAGTGCATAAATAACTTTCTAAAGAACAATGACTAGGCTATATAAGAGTTACATATATATACATATCATCAACTTCAACTTGCAGGTGTTTAGGTGTTTATATGGGTGGGAGGGAAGTATCTTTTAGAATAATTCATGGTCTTGCAGATGGCTAGGGAGGCTGTCATAGAGCTCTGAGCTTTGGAGGGATAAATCTCTTCAGCCCTCTTTGAACTTGTTGACTTCTAGATTGCCAGAATTGTTGGTGTTGGGGAGGAGATGCTTCCTTCAATCACTGAGTGCCACTGATTCACACAGCTGTTGACAATGAGGAATGGTAAATTTCGAGGTGTATAGAAGCAAGGGCTGTCTGTGCAGCCACCATGAAAAGCCCTGGAAGAAGATGGTGGTCTGGATAACCCTTTTTCACAGGTTTTATGACTGACGCCAGTGGTGTCAAGTCCACCTCAGTTCCTTCTCTGGCACTGTAGAGTTACCTTTTGACATGAGAACATCTTCAGCCAGGCTACTCAAATAATGTTACTTAGCTATAAAGTAATTGGTTTCTTAATCCTCTAGGATGGGGGTATCAAACTCAGGGCCAGATGAAGTACGTGAAGCCATTCTGCAGGCCAGATGGGACCCACACACATTCCACATACTTGATCCAACGTGCAGGGTTGGTCTAGTGTTGGTGTCACATGCAGCATGTGCCCTGGACTGGTTACACTTCTGGTTCCAGTCATGTATATCACATGCACCTGCTTGGGCCCCACACACAGCTTGCAGCATTGGGGGTTGTGCATGGCATGTCACACACGGGGCCAGTCTAGTGCATGTGCTGCATGTGACATCCATGCTGATCTGGCATTTGGGGCTGGTCTGTGGGCCGGATCTGGACCAGCTTTAGGTCTAGGGCCTGTCTGGTGCAGGTGCCACATGCAGCGTGCGCCTCATTGTGGCAGGCAGCACTATGGGCTGGATAATATAGTTCCATAGGCCGAATCTTTGACACCCCTGCTGTATAAGAGGTTCATAAAATCTGTGACATTGCATCTGTTATATATATGAGAAGGATGCATAGGATTGATGCCTTGTATCTGCCTCAGTCACATAAGATTTCCCATTGTACAGTGTGCTGTGGTGTCATTTCTTGGATGAAAGTAGACATAGCTAAACGGTTTTGCAGCCTGAACTTTTATTAAAGCTCTACTCGGCCTCTCCTACAGGAGGTTTGAGGTCTGCTGCTTTGTTTGAGGTATTCTTGCATGTAGCCAGAGAAGTGCGCTTTGTCCAGCAGAATGCCTGGAGCAGCTGAGCTCCCTATCTAGATGGCCTACACTAGCATGATAATAACGTGATAATTCTAGTAGTGGTATATTAGCGTTGTTGTTGGCACTAAAACTTCTTTGGAACCATTAAGGTTACCAGTGTCACTGCAAGGCAGACTTTCAGTTCTTGTGATTCTCAGAGAGGGTGGGGGGAGAGGAGCTTGTCCAAGACGAAGAAGAGGCATTGTACTCTGTCACCTGGCATATGTTTTTTCTGAGGACTTTTACATTTGGAAGGCAATGTCCTTACTGCTATTGCTGACTTACAAATCTATTAAAACTGAATATTGTAAAAGTCCAGTTGACTGTTATGCAGCAAAATCCCCTGAAAATACATGTGGGTATAAGACTTGCATTTTTTTTCCAAGTAGTCATGTTCATAGATTGATCAGCATTCATTTGAAAGGATGTAATTTGTCTCTACTAAATAATTTAAGTTTTTTAAAAATAGCACATCTAAATAGATGCAGCTTTTTAATCGGCATGTGTTTTGTGTTGCTGCATTCATTGAGCATCTATAAAGACACAATGGTCAGTCTTCTATTATGGCTGTGCTTATTGTTGATGTGGTCATGAACATCTTACTGAGATTTGCTATTTTCTAAATACATAGTCTTTGTGTGCATTATTTAAAAAGTATATGTGAAAACTGTAATAAGTCTCCCTTATACATATATGGAAATCCCATATGTCAGACTTTGTGGTACTTCTATGATCTTGCACCTAATTAGAGCTCATTATGTAGTAGTTATTGTAAATAAAGTGTACTGACACTATTTTCTGTATTCTACCCAACACTTGACAAATCATCCAAATAAATTTTCATGCTATCTTTGCTGCTTCTATAGTTGATTGCCCACTCAATGTGGGTAGGAGTGGAGATCAGGGGGACCTCATAAGTGTTGGACTTTGAGTGGCTACTTGTGTTTTTTCCCCACTAGT